TATTGTAAATATTCTGGCCTCAATCATGTGACGGAAGTTTGCTTGCCACAACAAGGATGCGTTGCTAAGGAAAAAGGATAAGAGGAGCTGGGTCGGGATGAGCAAGAAGAGTTGCTTGAGATAGTGATTCCTTACAGTTTTCGAATGCTCGAAGTAATTGCGGAGTCATGTCTATCGGATGAGACCCTTTCATTTTTGAGCCACTGAAAACGTCATTCAGCGGTGCTTGAAGTTGGGCTGCGTTGGGAATAAAGCGACGGTAAAAGTTTAGCATACCTAAGAAACGTCTTAGTTCTTTTACGGTTTTTGGAACGGGGTATTGCCTGATAGTTTCGACTTTGGACTCAAGTGGTTTAGTACTTGCAGCTGACACGTTGTATCCCAGGAACGTGACTTCTGGTTGGCCAAGTGTGCACTTGGCAGTGTTTACCACTACGCCGTACTGCTTTAGGCATTCGAAGAGTTGCCGCAGATGGTTCTTGTGCTCTTGGATTGATGACGAAAATACTAAGATGTCATCTATGTATCCGTAGCAGAGATCGAGTCCTTGCAACACCGAGTCACTCAAGTCAATGAACCTCTGGAAGGTTTGTGCTGAGTTTCTTAAGCCATAGTTCATGAACGGGAATTCGTACAGTCCAAATGGACACGCGATTGCCGTTTTCATGATGTCCTCTGGATTGAAAGCAATCTGATTGCACGCCTTGACTAAGTCAATGGTAGAAAAGATAGAACAGCATGTAAGTTGATGTGAGAAGTCGTGGATATGACGGATGGGACATCGATCAGGTATAGTTCTATTGTTCAGTGCACTGTAGTCTCCACATGGTCTCCAACTATCATCTTTTTTTCTTACCATGTGCAGAGGAGAAGACCAAGCGCTTTCCGATGGTCTGGCTATGCCGCTGGCGAGCTGGTCTGTAAACATCCAGGCGTCGAGGCTTACTGGCTACTGGAGGTCCTGGAGTCGTCCTGATGTGGTGCAGAGTGTTATGTTTGCATATTTGCAGGAATAAGAATGAACTGACTCGAGTGAAGTAATGTTATTTCCATGTAACAAACTAGTTAACTACGAGAACAATGTAAGTTATTGATATAAGTAGCGCGTCGCGTCCTGTTACTATGACGGTTGCAGACGGAATGAAAGTCGTATATTCACGCGTTCCGTTGAAGGCGCGGTGTCTTATCGATTATTTGCATTGTTCCCTGGTTGTGGCGTGATATAAACGTATGGTTTAATCTTCATGCGCGTAGCGGATTTGCGTAGGTCTAAGTGAAGCGAGTTACGCCACAACCGTATCGCAAATGCAAAGGCCCTTATTCGCAGACTAACAAGATTCAAGGCTGGTAATAATAGACCGAGGGTTGTGCGCACCGTTAGTGGCAAATGGCAGTTGCTGGGACAAATATCAGTTTGTCCCAGCCGGATATCACGCAAAAACTAACGGTTTATACATGGTAGAGCCATGCTGCAGTTATATTAGTAGTATAGTTGTAGCACGAATGGGTCGGCTCGACCGGGGAAAGACCACGCTCTCACAGAATACCAGCGTGAAATAGTAGCTTAATGCTGCTGTATTTCGTATGGTGAGTGTAGAGAACCGGAGACCCTTTTTACTGGAAACGAGGCATTCCATCTTAGTCCTCACGGGTAACAACGCATCTGCATTTTGTTTCGTAATTGAGGATACATGTAGATATCTATGGCCCGCAGCAACCACTTATGATCAGGTGGACTGTGTGCTGAGGGTGCAAGGTCAGGACTATATGCTCGTTTGTCACCCTATCCTATAAAAAAAAACGGAGCGCATAGATGACCTGAAGCAAAAAATCGCTGCTTGGGGAAGTTGATTCGACAATTTACCGAGAGGTCAAGGCGGTTAAGCCAGAATCGTCTCTTCCAGAGTGATCAGAAGAGACTCTTTAAATAATTCGAGCGACCAATGGTATGTGGAACGAGCCCAACACCGGATCAGGCGAACACTGTGACATTTCGGCGTGGCCTGGAGTCAGAGCTCGTAAGCCACAGTGAGGGCTTGGTTAGCTTTGATGGAAGTTGTGGCGAGCCAGGGTGCGAGTATTATGCCTATGGAAAACATCATCATATCACCGGAAGACGTAGCTAAGGTGATCCGTAGGACCCTGAACTGGAAATTTCTGACACTTGACGGGCTGCATCACTACTGGCTGAAGGGGTTTGTGGTGTGTCACGCTGTGCTCGCCCGACAGTTTCATGAGGCTCTCGACCAGAAGTCGCTCCTTAGTCTTTTCACTGCTGGGATCACTCATTTGGTTCTTAAAGATCAGGATACCATAGACCCGAGCAAATATTCCCCCCTCCCCATCACATATCTATACACAAGATACTGAAATCTATTTTGAGCGCGAGAATCACGCGCTCAAAATGGATGTGGGGGCGGTGGTCGTGGAACCAAATAACCACTCCTCATTGACATTGGCAAAGTGAATAAGCGCAACCGTCGGAATTTCTCCGCCGTCTGGGTAGACTACAGAAAGGCATTCGACTACAGTGGGTCCTCGAGTCGTACAAGGTTGACTGTTCAGTTAGAGGTTTCCTGGGGTAGTGTATGGGGCAGTGGAGTACGGTCCTTTGTCATCTGGACAAGCGGATGACGGCTGCGGAGAACCGCATAAGGGTAAGAAGGGTGACCAGGGGGACTGTATGAGTCCAATCTGGTTCTGCCTCTCTTTGAACCCTCTCAGTACCTTACTGGCAGTGGCGGCCCTAGGGCGGTGCAAGCGGTGCGACTGCACCGGGCGCCGTCATCGGGAGGGCGCTGATATCAACCGAAACGCATCGGGCACTGGTCCCCAACTCATATCATTAACATTTCGTTTTGTTGACACTAATGAAGTAGAATAGTAACAAGAAAGAGAGTATTTTGTTGCTTACAAGTCTACAAGGCCACAAGGATAACAATTCTTGAGCAGAACAAATGCTACGTCATGAGCGACAAGCACCACCGTGCTTGTCCCGTAGATACGCCTGTATTATATTTAGTAGGTCTCATACTTAAAGTTCGCGGAAAAAAACTTCTTCGTATTTTTTATATTAATTCAAGACCTTTTTCTTCAAAGTTTAATTACATTTAATTATAATATATATGTGCCATTTTATTCGATAGCTTGTTGCCAACCTGTTGTAGGTAGTGATATAATGTCGTCGCTGTAGAAATCTTGGAACTATTGATAAAAAAAATGTGACAAGTAGTTTTTACAGTCCTCTCATGATGTTAACCTAACGCTTCAAAAATAATTCTGAAGAGACCAAAACAGATGAAATCTGAGGGTCAGGACTATATGGTGGATGCATTCCAACCAAGCTCTCTCAATTTTTGCTCAGTGGCCAAAGATGTTTGTGGTCTGTGATGAAAGGCCACTCCATTTTCTGTTGATCAATTCGGGCCGGTTTTTACTCAATTTCTTGCTTGAGTTTCGTTAATTGTGCTAACAATCAGGGATCCGATGCCCTTCTAATCCCACACGCACCGCGATAAGTTTCGCAACAATCTGTGAAGCTTGACTACTCTTTGACCATGATCTTTTTTACATAATCTTGTGGTAGATGATCAACTTTTCATCACAAGTGATCAATCTTTTCAAAAACGGTTTGGTTTCATTACGCTTCAATCGAGAATCGCAAATGAGTACACGATTCTTCTCTGATAATAAAACTTCTCAATGTATCGAATTTCTTCGTTAGATTCACTCATTCTGGAGGACAGAAATACAGTTGATAAACGGCGGTAAAGTGATTTTTACTTTTTCTTAATGTCCTATAATATATATATATATATAGAAAATTTTGTGCAGGCTTTTATTACTGGAAATCCAAAAAAAAAATTTCTTAAAACTATGGCTATATCATTTTTTCATTTATATAGACTATTATATACATTAAATTTTAATGTACTGTTGTTGGTCACGGTTTTTTTTTATTTCACACTTTATGTTTGGAGGCTAAATTAAATACTACTCTGTTACCAATGCAAATTTTCTTTTATTTTTATAATTAATCACAAGTTGTTTGGCATTATTGTTAATTATAGTCCAAAATAAATCTTCATAAAAAAAAAATTCTTAAAAACTCTGTTACTTTTATACATTAAAAAACCGTATTTTTTTACTAAAGTCACTGGAAATTATACTTTTAACATCTTATAATGCTATTTTGAAAACTATGAATATTATTAACTGGCTCATAGCTTATTTAAGATATTTTAAAGTCTAGTTTACCTAAAAATATATTTTAGACCTTACAATTTTTGGGACAGAAAAGTAACATAGTTGTAAATAATTAAAATAGTTGTTTTTGTACTACACCTAGCAAAAACATTTAAATTTCTTACATGAGACCACTCTAATGATATTCTCATAACTAAGCAATTCTAAAAACTAACAGATAAAAATAATTATGAGATCGTATTTATCACAATGAGACCAACACTACTTCTCAAATATTTCTAATGAAGAGTCAAACTGGTAGTATACCTACTCTTTTGCCTTTGTATACTTTTTTTGGGTGTGGGACGATTGCAATTAAATTTTCAAAAGGCTCGTAAGACACATCAGTCTCAATCAGTCTAAATTTTTTTGCAGTATCGTCCATAGATCTGAAAAACATAAATTTTACCTCGCCATCATCTTCTAGCTTCAGGCTTGAAACTTTGACTAACACGCACACACCATGTTTTATTTTAATAATATGAATATTTTCCTTTTCTATCAAAGCATCGTTTTGATGTACTGGGTTGTCCAAGTGAAAAGTTGTCCTTCACCGTTAATAAAGGGATATCATCATCAGTGTCAGAACCGTAGACAGTGTTATAGAATGGATTTCTTTGTGGATGAACTAAGTTGCCTTTTTCTTTCATAAAATCTGGTTCACATTCATCAGAGCTTGATTTTTCATCCACGGGTTTTAGTGGACGATATTCTTTGGGGTCCATGCAAGAACAAAAGCCGCGCCTCAAGACAGCTCAAGTCTCTATATTTGAGAAATCCTTTCTCTTCAGTGACACCTGGTGGACTTTCATGGTGCCAGGTAATAGTAAAACATTATCAGGAATCTCCATGGACCGTATATTAATGTCTTCATCAGTAATAAAATGCATTATTATTTTACTAATATCCTTTAAAGCAGAATAGAATATTGAGGCCTCAGCAATATCCTGTCCACGTGCGACAAGTTGATCAGCAGTGCGCTTCAAAAAGCCACCAACTCCGTCTGCTGCACCCTTGCCACGCCCTGCCTCGAAAAAAATCCATGTAACTCTATAGAAGTTATATTCAGAGAAAAAAATATTGCAAATCAGATAAAAATTTTGTTTTTGCCGGTACTGTGAGGTTTACTAATATCCTTTAAAGCAGCATAGAATATTGAGGCCTCAACAATATCCTGTCCACGTGCGACAAGTTGATCAGCAGTGCGCTTCAAAAAGCCACCAACTCCGTCTGCTGCACCCTTGCCACGCCCTGCCTCGAAAAAAATCCATGTAACTCTATAGAAGTTATATTCAGAGAAAATGTGAAAAGATGAAAAAAAAGAACAGTGGATTGTGAGTAACATTACCTGAAACGGTGCAAAAGAATGTCACCTCTATTTTATTATCTAAACCTCGCAGGTACATGACTCCAGTGTGTAAAGATACTTGATTTCGTGAACCTCCAAAATGATGGGCCTGTATTTCTTCGAAATATTTACAGCTATAATTCTCACTGAAGTCAACATGTAATGCTACTTCATTTTCGGACAATGTGTCTATACAAGCTCTGTAGTTTCTGTATTGTGACTTTATGTAATAAACGTGCCTCGTGAACTCTTGGAGTTGACATTTAAATACATCTATTAAAGATTTTACAGTACTTTGCTTTTCTTCTTTTATGTTTTTAGTCACTTTGTATTTTTTCCCTGCTTCTCTACAATTTCATTATTCCTTTCTCACTGAATATATTTTATATATCATCTTTTGTACTATTATATTCAATTTTCTTCAAATAACAATCAGAGCACAGTCCTGTCGTGCAAGCTAGTAAAATTTCATCGCATGTTTGTTCTTTTGTAATTTTATTTAAATCTGAGGTCGGAATTACTTTATTTTTACACAAAGCAATAGTCAAGTATTGAACGTTTGTGTGTAATCGACATAAACATGTTTCTCTTCCAGAAATAGTAGGAAGCATTACATAAGACGGTCTGCATCGAGTAAAAGTAGTGTAGGAGCATTTCATGTCAGGATTATCTCGTTTAAACGAAGCAAAGAGGTCCTTCATGCTGTCCAGTAGGTAACGTTTTTGCATTTTATTTTTCTTACGGGTAACGCTTTCCTTTTTTTTCCGCAGTTGCTCACGATACATCATCACGATTGAAAAAATCTTTAATTTTGTAACTCACAACTTTTTTTCCTCAGCTTTGGTTGTTTCTTTCTTATGTAACCTTGATCCACATTCAAGCACTCTTTTATTATTTGCATTTTCTTTCTAGAACATTTAACTTCCTTCTCAAATATTTTTTGTATAGCTATCTTTTCTTTCCGACTTTTAAGTTTTTTAATAGCTTTCACCAATATGTTATACTTATCTTGACTTTTACAATCATCGTTTTTATTTTTTGACCCTTTTTGTTTTCCTCTATTATATCTATTCTTGTATTTTTCATATTTTTTATTTATTTCTTCAATTTTTTCTTTTAATCTTTGATTTTCTCTAAACAATTTTGTTCTGTTTCTTTTTACTTGTTTCCGGCCCCGTTTTGCTAGAGATGTCGTTGAACCAGGGCTACTTTCATGGGGATTCAATAGTTGAGGGGTTGATAAATGGTGATTCGACGATAGAACTCGTGGCAAAACTTGGTTTGTACCCAGCGGAGTTGGAGTACGTGAACGTGGAGTCATAATTCCCGGTGAAGATTCTGGAGTATGCATTACTACACGAACAGCCTTGGCCCGGTCCCTTCATCTGGCATTTGCAGCTCGCCATTTTTTTATTGCTCGGTGTTCCCGTGACGTAAAATTTTTCACTTAACGTTTCTTTGCATGGTATCTTTCGAGGTCTTTTCTTTTATTTGCAGCTTCTTTTTCAGGATCCTTTTTGCGTCGTTCATAACGTTGTTATAACATCGCTGCTTTTCAGCAGGCGTTAAAGCCATTTAGAAAAACGATCAGCAGTACAAGTAAAAGTCCTGAAACCAATAATTGTTTACTATAAAACTTGTGAAATAAGATTGAACAATGAAAAATAACCACTCTGTTACTCAGCTTACAACTCTGTTACTTCCAAGTAGTAACAGAGTTGTTCAGTAACACAGTGGTAAATTTTATATTCCATACAGAATTAGTCATAATATAAGGCATAAAGGGAAATTATTGCTACATATTTAAGACATGCATACCTAAAACTCATGGATAATGTAAAATGTAATAGTAAATATTGATTGCTTACGCGAAAATATTGGTAACAGTGTGGTTGTTGAATAAAGACACGCTCCTCCTTTCACAGCGCGCGGTCGACTGACTCGTGTCAGTCGTTCCCCACGCCCCCGCGAAATTTCAGGAACAATTTTAAACACTTCACCGAGGTTATTGCAGGTGCCATAGTAGCGCTATCTGTATTTTTTAAAGTGAACTACTATAGTAACAGAGTGTTGCTGTGATATTAAAGCATTGAACATGTAATAATAATTTCTATATTTATTAATCATAATTTTTTTATATATCAATGTAGGAAAAAAAGCAAGATTTTCTACGTCTTTTTGCACGGTATTAATGTCTGGGACATAGTGAATTTGTATGGAAAACACCTCTGTTACGAAAAATGTTACTTTAAAAAAATGTGGAAAAACTAAACAAACTTAAACATGCTTTACATAAAATTTTATTTTATATAAAGCATGTTTAATTAATTTATTTATTCATTTACTATTAACTTAAGTTCGTAAAATTTTTGATATTAAAAATGCTCAGAAAATTTGAAAATGGCCCAAAAACAAAACTAATCACGAATAAGCAACTGCATAGTATAGGAACACTAAGATTTTTATATTTAGAGGAGCGCTATTTTGAGATCTCACACCACCTAAAATCTTTGCAAGGGCCACCACTACTTACTGGAGAGCTCTGGGAGGGGATTCCAGCTTCGGAAAGGCAAAAGTGACGTACCTTCCATATGGATGATCTCAAATTATTTGGTTTCAGTCGCTCCCACACTATGGAATTGCTAAACATCACTTGTGATTTTAGCAATTCTATTAGAATGGAGCTGGGGACGGATAAGTGTGCGGTTCTCCATGTCGAAAGAGGAAGGGTTGTTAACTCTGAGGGCATAGACTTATCTATGCCCATTAACATAAAGACCGTTTCCGAGGCTGAAACATACTGATACCTGGGTATATTACAGAACATCTGTATCGATAAGGTGGGTATAAAACAGTCCATTTGCTACATGTTTTATGCACGTTTGACAAAAGTGCTTAACAGCCTTTTGTCTGATGTGAATAAGACACATGCATATAAAGGTTGAGACATGCCTGTCCTCATGTATACCTTTGGCATACTCAGGTGGACTCAGACTGAACTTAAAGCCCTGGATATAAAAGTCCGAACAACCATAACGTCCCATAGAATGCACCATCCGAGATCGTCGGTAATGAGCCTGTACTTGCCGCGAAAGCAAGGTGGGCGTGGCTTTTTAAGCACGCTCACTATGCATAATCGTGAAGTGTGCAGCCTTCGTAATGACTTCCTGGCAAGATCGAATGATCCATTCTATAATGACGTCATTTCTTGTGATTAATCGCTTACTTCTCTATCCTTAGCCAACGAGCAATGGCAGTACATAGCATTTCTGACCTCGTGATCGACAAGCCTTCCGTAGGTGCAGTCGCCTCTCTCAATAGGCTACGTTTTAATGACCTCTTCGGGTAAACCAAGGGTATTGTCTGTGCAATATAAGATCAGGTCATTACGACCAACAACTATCGAAGATACATACTAAAGGATGGCACTGTCGACATTTGTCGAGCTTGTCGTCATCCCGATGACTTACTTTGGCATGTCATCTCTGGTTGTTCGACGTTTTCTAACTCTGAGTACATGCACAGACACAACCTATTAGCCAAGATTTTACAATCCTGTAGTCATCTCTGCGAACGGACAAATCCCGGTCAGCCTCACGTGTTATCTGACGCTACTGGGACTCCGTAACGGACCGCTCCGGGCTCAAATGCAGAAGGCGGTGCTCCTCGATACCGCCCGCATTGTCCGCCGGTTTCTTTCCCTTTCCCCCTAACCCTCGGCCGTTTGGTCTCCCCTGCCGAGGGCTTCCATCTGGTTGGGCTTTTATTTTAGATTATATAAAATCATTTCCTTTTATAATTTATCAGCCAATCAGATGAGAATACTCTATTCATCACCCAAAAATAATAATAATAGAATCTTTTTTTCGGATATTTTTTGTGGTATTACCCCCAGAATACTGTTGGCGCTGTTCCTTGTTCTGCTTAAGGCTTCCGTCTAGCTTTGTTGTTTTACATTCCTAGCCATTGGAGGGGGCGCTCTCCCCCGTGCATAAATACGTTCGAGATCGCAGGTGAAGGTGCTCTACTTCATTAAATATATATTTTTTACCCTTTTATATTTCATAAATGTCGTTTTTAGTAATGTTTATACGGGCTGTAGGTTTAAAAAGGGTATATACAACCGAAGGAAAATGAAAACTGCCTCTTCATACAAATTTCGCCTCTACCTTGTACATTTTGTACATTAATACTACTTTTACTACTATTTTTACTGACGCAAGGTTATTTCTTCTTTTTTATATCCATCTTTTTCCGTTTATTTTTTTTTTGATAATAAATTATATATAAAACTTAAAATATATAAAACATACTACATATAAAAGTCCAAGTCAATTAATCTAATACTAATAAACTATTAACTTAAAAATAGACACTAAAAATTACAACTAACATGACAATTAAATAAAAATAATATATATTTAAGTAGAGCAACTTTCACGATATGCTCCGCTCAGTCCATAAGAGCTGAAAGAGATCAACCCTATGAGCGAGAGGTAAAGTATCGTTGAGCAACACTGCACACGTCTGAACGCCGAGAAATCCCAGCAGAACTGAGAGAATTTTCAGGCGTTTCTGGTTTATAAATGGCATATAGGTAAAAAGTACGAAAATACATACTTTTTTAATTTTATTTATTTCTAACTCACTTGAAAATAATTCAATTTTATGTGGTTATAAGTACAACTTTGCTACATTTATACTTCAAATAGAAAAAAATAGATATTTGCAGTTAAAAAAATCATGAAATTACAACTTTTTAAGCCCTTCAAATAAGAAAATTAAAGCATTTATAAAAAAAGTGACCAGATCAGATTACTGTAGACAATATGTAAATAAATGGGATCGGAATACTTTTCTTGATATTGTTATAGTTTATACATAGCAGAGGCTTTAATAAGACCTTTTACGCATGTAACCTAAACATAGGCATGTTTAACGCCTAATAGAGCTATTAATTTAAACACCAAATTAAAATTAAAAAACGTTTTCGAAAATATCAAATCCTACACTTTAAATAAATATAAAATATGTTTCACTTTTTCTTTTTTAAATACTATAAAAAAATATTTGTTTCGCTGTAAATTTTGCGAGAACACTAATTTTTACAAGACTAGGGCCTTAATAGTGATGCGGCTTTTTTACTCATTATCGTTTCATTCACACCCGTCGGTGCGGACGTCGCAAAACATGCCTGTTTTTTTTCAATATTTTTTTTGGCAGAACATGCGCCAACAGAACTCTAAATGCATTATTAAATTGCACCTTTAATGCTTTGTACGCCCTTTGTGTGTAATTAACGCATAGGGAGCACGATTAAAAACTGGCAGTATGCCTTAAAAAGAGTTTTTTTTATATAGCACTGGGTGACAAAAGAGCACACAGTCTACTAGATGGTAAGTGGATGCTGCTGCCCATAGACATCCATATTTATCCTCAAACAAATTTAATTCGGTTATTTTAACCGCGCTACTACATCTTACATACCTACGGGCCAACATATTACTCCGGGGCGCTAAAGACCCACGCTCCTTCTCCATGTCCATTTCATCACGCAAATCCTCTTTCACGTAGTATCCCAAGTATTTGAAATGTGATAGACATCGACGTTTCGCATGTTTTACTAGGTCGTCACTCCATCTAGTGGCGCCTGGTTATACCTATATATATATATATTAAATAAATTCAAGTTACACGTATATTTTTTGTGAAAAAAGTATAGAGTTGTCGAGTTTGTTGAGAGTTTGTCTTTTTATTGTTTTAATAATGGTTTAAAGAAGATTTTGATTCATAAAAGTGGTGCGATCTTGTATTAATATTTCTGCGCCTGTAAACTATTAGTGAAAGCGTAGACAGAGAAACCTATAGACTAATGATTAGCGTGGCCTCGAGTGAGAAAGGACTATAACGTAGTTTTAGGTTATACAATAATCTTTATGACTTTTAAACATATTTAGATAAAAATTTTAATTGTTCTAAGAACTGAACTGAACAAGATTCACCAATCTTAAGCTCACAAAACACCTTTTTCTCACATAAACCAACTTGTAAACTCCTTAGATCGCTACGAACTGTCAAAGTTGTTTAGCAAAGTGTAGTTTGCTAAATGAAGAAACCAGCACGGAGAAAGGGACAAACAATCACACCGCCCTGTCTCATTTCTATGCAAGACGTAAGCATAAATCTATCTTTTTCGTGTGCGCATGCGAAAGAAGGCGTCAATTTGTCTATAAGTTTCTCTATCTATGAGTGAAAGCGATGGTGAATCTCAGGTTTATTTATCCACTGTGTTAAGTTTTACTTTTCGAAGTATGTAATGTGACGCTTCAGCCAATTGTTAAGATTTTTTGTAAATAAAATACAAATCAGACTAGGCTGTATGGTGAGTATGGTGACAGCCTTTTGCCTCCCTAATTAGCGAATCGTAACAATAACAACTCTTTGGTTTATGGAATTTAGTCGGATTTTGTTACATGGGTGGTATTCTAATTGTGCTTTTAATTTAATTAAAACTGTGCCAAATCTGAGAAAATATCTTTAAAATATTATTTTCCTACACACTTAAGTATAATACATTTTATTAACAATGTAATTAGAATGTGGTTCATATATAAAGTTGAAGATTTGTAATGTGTAATGGAAAACATCAGTCATGTATATCTTTTGTGTGATTATTGTTTTGTGCTTCTTATGTGAAAGTTATACATTGAATCAAGATAAAACGGACCCAGTTTCTATATTAAAGGCTAATTCAACACCGGAACATATAGAATGGAAGATAAAACTTGATATTTCTTTCACAAAAACACTACCGCTAGTCGTAAGAAAACCACTAGGAGCCGACGTTCGTTTCAGATGCGAAGCTATTATGAATTTTACTAAAGTGGAAACATTCACAAAGTACAAGGAGGTTATAGAAACATCTTCTAAGGAAGCTCCTCCTGATCATATACAGCAAAGGCTTATGAGAAATTTGAAAGCCTATTGGCTAAAAGATAACAAAATACTTTCAGAAAATGAACGAGTGAAAATAACTTCGAAAATAGACAAGACAAATGGAACTATAGGTACAAGTATAAGATTGAAAAACATAAATTTGGTTGATCAAGGCAATTATTCCTGTGTTATTAAGCAGAACTATGAGAAAAAATGGACAACTAAATTGGAAGTTATAAAGAACGTAGACGTAGAAAATTATGAGCTCCCAACTTATACACCCGTTTTCTCTAATCTTGGTGTTAGTGATGAATTTGAGATCAGTATTAAAACCACCCCCGACTTAATATTTGAAGATATGACTGCAGAAAATAAAAATGGCTTGAAAACACCTCAGAACACCTCTACACCTCGCAAACTAGAACCTTTATGCCAAGAATATGTAGGCAAAGTGTGCAGTGCACATTTAAAGGGTCAGTTTGTTTATATCCCTTATGATACCACACAGGCTACTCTTGAGGATAAATTATCAAAAGCTATACAAGTCACTAAATTTTCAAAAGATATAAGCTTGCATTGTGAAGGATATGCAGTACCAAGTCTTTGTTTCTCAACATTCCCTATTTGCCGGGATCCATTAACAACCAACAAGTATTTCTTTGAAGAAATAAGGAAACTGCATAATGAGCCAAAAGACCAAACTAATAATGATCTTCCAGAAATTGTTTTTGAGAATTTACCAAAAGGCTTTGTACCAAATGCAAAGTCTAGTAAAAACTCATCCTCTAATATTTTTAATTACCGTTACAACTCTACAGTGCTTATACGTGTTTGTAAACAAGACTGTGAAATATTGGAGAATGAATTGTGCCAAACTGAATATGCAATAGCTAAGCGACATCCTCACATTGGTCAACAGCTAACCCTAGAGGAATGTCAGGACTTGCCAGAAAATGATCCTGACTGTTTGAAGATAGGTATAGGTTCAGTAATGGTCTCAGATGATGAATGCTATTGGGAAGATGGAAGTGGATATCTGGGGAGAGTAAGTGTTGCCCAGAATGGTTTGCCTTGCATTGAATGGTCAAAGCAGCTACATGTCAAGCCTTCTGATTATCCTGAACTAGCTGGTAGGCACAGTTACTGCAGAAACCCTGGTGGCCTCAAATCACAACCATGGTGCATAGTTGATAAAGGTGGAAAAACTGACAAACAGATATGTGACATTCCAAAATGTGCACATAAAATATGGATATATATTGTAGTTATATTTTTGCTTGTGTCATTAGTTATTGTAGGCTTTATTGTTTGTCTTTATTATAGACAAAAGAATAAGGGGAGTGCTGCAACAATTAGGGATATTAATTTACCAAATGCGGATAAAAATATTTATGGCAACTCTAGATTGAATTCCCCTATAGAAATGAATGAATTGCTAACAAATCAAAATACAAACCTTCAACCACATTTGACGAGGAATGTCCGTGGCAATGGTGTGCTTCGTGTACCACAGTATTCTCTGTCACAAATAAAGTTCTTGGAAGAGCTCGGTGAGGGAGCTTTTGGTAAAGTTTATAAAGGGGCATTAAAGAAAAATGGAGAAACCCAATATGTAGCTGTAAAAGCGTTGAAAGAGAATGCTTCTGCAAAAACCCAGGCCGATTTTAGAAGAGAAATTGATTTGATATCTGAACTCAGTCATGAAAATATTGTTTGCATTGTTGGTGTAGCTCTCAGGGAAGAGCCGCTGTGTATGTTATTTGAGTTTATGGCTAGAGGGGACCTTCACGAATTTCTCATGGGTAGAGCACCTCCTTCTGGGAAGGGTTTGCCACCTATGAGATTATTAAACATCGCCTACAATATTGCATCCGGTATGCAGTATCTTGCCTCACATCATTATGTTCATAGAGACTTAGCAGCAAGAAACTGTTTAGTTTCTGATGATTTTATAGTAAAAATTTCAGATTTTGGTCTTTCAAGGGATATCTATAGTTCAGATTATTATAGAGTAAGTATTAAATAATGTCTCTTATATTTTTGTTATACAGTAAAATCTCAATAACTCGAATGTTAAGGTACAATAGTCAGAAAGATGGGAGAAAATGCCACCTTTCGCTGAAGCTCTAAATATGTGGTATCTCAAATTATTTAGAGTTTGTGACTCAAACAAAGTGTTATTTCCATGCGAAATATTAATTATAATATACTCTATAACTTAAATTTCAAAAAGTAGACTCCGTTAGTAAAATGTAATGAATGCTTACTTCGAGTTTCCTGAACTCATCACAATAAAATACAAAAAGAAATTTTTGTTGACTCTGTTCTATTGTGCGTACATTGTTCATGTGCAATGAATGAATATATTCATTAAACTTTATAATTAACATATCTGTGTGCTTTAGTACTTATTTGGCTATTAACTTTAGTATTTAACTCTATGTGAAAAATGACAATATTCTTGTTAAGTCAAAAACTCATTAATATGAAATTTTTAGCAATTCCCTAGAAATTGGTGTTATCGAGATTCCTCCGTATTTCATTTGTTTTGAAATTTTATAATATTCTAATTATTTTTTAAGTAGAATAATATAGAAGTTAATTATTTACTACAGCCTTTTAAAAAGCTGCTGAACATAGCTCAATATGTCACCACATATGGCGGATATTAGTCGTACAGTCTGCTAGTGTTGTCCTGTCACACAAATTAAAATGGTTCACGCTACATGTGCAGTAAAACACTGGGGGTCGTCCTCATGTAAAGATAAGAAATTAAGTTTTATTTATTTTCCACATACACAGGAATTTGTTTAAAAGTGAAAGAACATAAAATCAGTTTTTTATTATTTTTATTACTTCCCGTTCTGACAACCCTAGCAATTTATTGTTTTTGTTGGCTTTTCATACAACAACAAATGCGATGACTAACTGTATGTTCTTTTTACAAAAAAGTCTTTAGGCTGTCCCCATATAATATGGGGAAGTGGATTATCTACTACCACTACATGGCGAAAATACCAATTTCATACTAACTACAAATTAATATTTAACTATTGCAAATACATATCTATGAGGCTATCTATGGTGGAGGCTTATGTTCACCAATGGACTTTAATAGGCTGTAATGGTAATGGTGCAAATTAGTAATGTAACTAACTTTTTAGGTGCAATCTAAAAGTCTCTTGCCAGTGAGATGGATGCCACCAGAATCAATACTTTATGGTAAATTTACCACAGAAAGTGATATTTGGTCCTACGGAGTAGTGCTATGGGAAATTTACAGTTATGGACTTCAACCATATTATGGGTAAGATTGATAATTTTTCTTATATGAGTAAAAAGCACACTCTTTTTAATATTTTTTTTAAATTTACAATGTAATAACATCTTTATAAACAAAACTTTAAACATCTTCAACTAAACTATCGACTAAACAGTCAGTCATCAAAGCTATAGTGGACATCACATTCACAGAATTCAAAGTACAAGCTGCTATCAAAGAAATTAATATAGACTCACCACCTGGCCTCGACGAAATAACCTATTATATATAGTTACTTAGCATCAGTAATTCAAGAATCATATGACAAAGTAGTATTGCCTGATTTATGGAAAACGACTTTAGTGACTCCTGTTTACAAAAAGGGAAACAAATTAGATTCTGCAAATTATAGCCCGATAAGTTTAACTAGTGTGGTGTGCAAGGTCATGGAAAAGATAGTATTTAAGCACATGAGGCAGTTCCTTAGCAAACAACATACTATTGGCAATCAGCAACATGGTTTCTGTCCCCATATATCAACAATATCAAGCTTGTTGTCTTGCTTATCATCCTGGGGCAACAGTCAAAGTGATCGAGAACCAATAGATGTTATATATCTGGATTACGAAAAAGCTTTTTTATAAAGTACCAATAGGCAGGCTTTTATATAATTTAGAATTTGTTGGTGTTTCGAGGGAAACTGTTAGCTTAGATTGAGACTTTTCTACGACAAAGAACTTACACAGTAAGGATTGGCGACACATTGTCAGATAAAAAATAAATAAAAAGCGGTATGCCACAAGGTTCTGTATTTGGGCCAGTATTGTTTATACTGTTTACCTTTGATCTACCTAAAAACTTGAGTTGTAATGTAAGCATGTTCACTGATGACACGAAGATATTCGCAAACCCACTTGTGGACTTTGATCGCCTTCAAGCAGACCTTATTAAAATATCAAATTGGTCAAAAAAGTAGCATATTAAATTAAATATAAGTATCGTTTCGTATATAAAATGATTATATACTTTTGGAAGAAGTTAAAGTACAAAAAGATTTAGATGTGCATATAAGTAACGATCTAAAATGGAAACTTCATATTACAGTAATAAATAAAAAGGTAATAGTTTTATTTACCTGATTAGAAAAGCCTTTGGGCATCTTACACCAGAAATGATGCTTAAAAAACATAATGCATACATTTGACCTATTTTGAAGTATGCATTCCAAATGTGGAGCTCCTATTTCAAAGAGGATATTGCTTTACTGAAAAAGGTTCAACGCAGATTTTCAAGGGTCCGTAGAGTATTGAAAAACATACCATATGAGGAAAGGTTGAATAAACTTAAACTAGCGACACTGATAGATTGCAGAGAATGAAGAGACTTGATCGAAACGTAATATAAAATTATACATGGACACTACAATCTAGAAAATTTTGACAGATTTATTCCAGTACTCAACAAACACAAATCCTAGGGGACATCACTTCAAATTAACTAAAGCCGTATCACATAATAACCCACACAAGCACTTTTTTAGCCAAAGAGTGGTTGAAGCATGGAACAAGCTGCCATCAGAAGTAATATCTGCACAAACTATTAAACAAATCAAGAACAGATTAGATTTAGATGTTTATATCTAAAATTAGAATAATTACACATTTGAAAATAGAATACGGGCTTATATCAGTTATTTCAACTGCTAGCCTGTTAAATAATAATAATAACACCATAAATACGTTAAAAACAATAGAAAAAGAATTTAAATTACGCCTAAATAGAATACTTGACACACATCTAAATGCACGAAACACCATAAAAGCCATATTCGTATCACAACCGAGTTCGTTTGGCTAACGAAAAAAGTATAATAACTAACTCGGAAACGAGAGAATACTAAACAAAACGTATATAATAATAAACTATTAAATATACAGTTGAATATAATAAATACACATTAAAACATATTTTAAGGCTCCGTGACGCAGTGGCTTAGCAATGGATTATATCACTGGGGGTCAGTAGTTCGAATCCTAGACGGAACAAGTTGTTCTGGGTCTGGATGTTTGTCCTTGTGCAACTCATATTTGTAAACTGCCTCCACAGTACGGGAGAGAATCTTAGTGTGGGGGTAAGGTTTATATTGACAAAAATTTAAACATCTTCAACTAAACTCTATTTAATATACAGTTGAGTAAGGAAAAGGTAAAGTAAAGTAAAGTTACAGCCTATATACGTCCCACTGCTGGGCTCAGGCCTCCCCTCATTTCTGAGAGGGTTTAGGGCAAGGAAGTGTCTGCCGCGCTGCCCAAATGCGTGTTGACGAACTTCACATGTCTTCGAAATATTTTTTTTCTTATTCCTCAGACATGCAGGTTTCCTCACGATGTTTGAATAAGGAATAAGGAAAATAAATATTAATACATATTTGTCTGTAATAGATAGGTGATTGTGTGAGCGTCAAAAAAACTGATTTAAACAGTCAAATCACACAAAAATAAAATTACACTGATTGGTTGGTAAATGTATTAATCTGACATTTGTAAACACCTCTCCCCCTACAGCGTACTGGGCTAATTTACTGTTAATAAAGTTAAGGTGATAATTCTTTCTTTATTTGCGGTAGTGCAAAATACGCGCTTAGACGTGGAGTTGTGAAAAATAGCCCGTCGTAATCACTCCGATAACAGGCAAAGAAAAGACTGGGAGGATCGTTTCTACTCTCGTTTTCCGAGACAATATGGAAAGTCTACGCGAATGCGTCGCGTGTTCTGTGTTAAAGCAGAGGAAACCAGTAGACACTTGCATATTTTACTGTAAATTAGAAAAACACATTTTAATATTTATTAGTTAATATTTATAAATTATTTACAAGTCTCACTTCTAACGCGCGACAGTTTCATGTTTTTCAACTTATAGACAGAGTGACGACCTAGAAAGATAAGTAGGAAGTCAATGGATGCATGTGGCTCAGGACAGCTTACAATCAGTAGTGGACTTGTGAAAGGTGGGATGATGACCCTTTTTCGAGTATTCACTGTAAAGATTTGTGGAGATTTATTGATAGATTTTCTTATGTAGCAATCACCACATAATTTCACATGCGCTGTACACAAAAATCGGGTGACGTGACGTCTTCCATACTTTTTTTTATAAAAGTAAGGATGACCAGTGAACAATACAGCCCACCTGGTGGTAACTGGGTGCTTTGAATTTATATCTGTTCGCAAATAAAAATCAAAATGATATTTGCAATGTTTAGCTTTGGTTTAGCTAACTGTCCTCATTTTCTGATAACCTGGTGTTTGTGTAAGTTTTTTCTCGTTATACAAAACACAGCAGCAGGGCTATACACCTATTTTACGCTGGTATTCTGTGCGAGTACGCGAGCAAACCGTGTTCGATCCCCGCCGGCACCAATTAAATTGTTAATTGCAATTTTAAGTGCCATGTGCTTGGCGGTTAAGGAAAACATCATGACGAAACCCGCATGTCTTAGAAATAAGAAAAAAAATATCTAGAAGACATGTGAAGCCAACACGCATTAGGATAGCGCGACGGACACTTTCTTGCCCTAATACCCTATCTGAAATGAAAGGTGGCCTGTGCTCAGCTGTGGGACTTATATAAGCTGTTATAGGCAACGCCACGAGTCATGGAAGTGCGCAGAACCGAACAATAGGTGTCGGCACGGTGAGGTGTGAGGTACGGGGAAGCGAAACCATAGCAACGAACGACGCGCTACTCCCAAGTAGTTTCTCCCTGCGTCCCGTCGCCCGCGCACCTTCTTGTGTCGTTTTGTGTACTATCGGTATCGAAAGTGTTAGCGACTACCTGTTATAAAATTTTAAACTTTTTCGATTATTTTTGTACTTTTAAAAATATTGTTCTATAATATTTTAAAATATTTATTACTTTATAAATTATTTTGGGACTATTTAAAATAGCGTAATTCGTAGTATATTGTATAAAATTGTAAATATTTAGTTATTTTCTACAAGGTGATTTTCTTTGCAAATTATTGCATGTAAAGTATCCTTATAATATATATATATATATATATATATATATATATATATATATATATATATATATATATATATATTATATAAAAAAGTTTACACAGCAATTACAAATACAAAAATACAAATACAAAATATCTTATTTCTTTAACTAAGTGTACATAAAATGCAGAATATTATTTAGAAGCAGTTAAAACCTAACGATGATATATAAATATATCGTTCAGTTTTCGTGGAGACCTTGATGTGTAGTTATAATGTTGACCTTTGACTTTTTACGTATTAAAATGCCGTAATAAAATTTTCATTTTTCTGCTTGATTGTACATGCGCAGTGGACTCTATTTAATTTCATCTTTCGTGGCACGGCCTATACTTTACGTGCTGCAGCCATATTTTTCGCAGTGTGATTCTACCCAACTATTTCATATAGTAAAAATATTTCAAATAGAACGCGCCAAAAAGCTCCGCTTTTTATTAAAAGCAGGATCGTAGATAAAAATTATATCTATCAAACTAATTTTTATTTCATTACGTGAAAGTAATAAATATATTTCATTGATTAAAACTACTTTTACGGATTTTATCGCGTTTATTTTACTTTTAATTACTTTTATTTTTAATTCCCGACGTTTCGGGCGCTTTCCAGCACCCATGGTCATGGGGGACTCTCGCGTAAATATAAGAAATCATTAATTATATTTCATTTCATTTTGATTGATTTTGTTGGATTGTATTGGTTGTGTATAACGCTCTCAATTTAACTGCGTGCAGAGTTACATAAAGTAAATAGTTAAATAACAATTCTGTAAACTGGTACTAAAGTTAAACATGATATCTATGTCCTCGTAATAATACTGTCATTTAGTATTGTTATTGTATGTTTGATAATCTTTATTTAAATTTCGCAGAAACTAAGTGTGTCATAAGAACTGATTACTCATTATTTTCGATATTAGATATAGCAATCAAGAAGTAATATCGATGGTTCGTGGTGGGGAACTCTTGGCTGCGCCTGCAAACTGTCCGCCATTAATGTACGCCCTCATGAGGGAATGTTGGAGACATACGCCGCAAAGGAGACCGAACTTTGAGGATATAGTCAACAGGTAAAAATTAATAAACACGCAATTTATGAAGATTAAGCCAGGATTTCTAATTCTGCCAAGTTTCAATAATGACAGTGACGTAAAAGCTGTGATCGATAGTAGATTCTAACCTCGGCAACTGATACTACGCGACAGAAACATTAAGCCTTATGGACGCCACACACGGTCAGTTCAACTGATCATTTTAACTGATCAGTTCAAACTAAAACTGTTGATATTTTTTAAAATAGTAGATTTTCGATATATCGATCATTATAAACACATTAATATCGGAGTTTTACATATAAGTTTATTTATGAATATATCGAAAATCCGATATTTTAAAAATATCAACCTTTTTAGTTTGAACTGATCAGTTGAACTGACCGTGTGTGTGACTAGGTTTAGGTACACTTGGTTGTCTGATACCCTCGGGTCAAACAAACAATTTACTGTATTAACACCCAGCAGTACAAACTTGTTAATTCAAAAGTTTACTACACTAAGTAATCAACTAAGATTAGAACCTATTTAGATTTTATTTCCGTGGAGTGCAGAACAGTTGGCTACTTTAAATAATTATTATGTACAGAGTAAAAGCACATTTTTTTATTACTTTCACTTACAATTTTGAACTGTTATTTTATTTTATGTATTATGTCGCATGAATGTATATTCTATTTTGTTGTTTTTAAGAAAATTGCTTTACGAAAATATTAAAGCATATTTATAAATTACATACTTATCCATACGACTCATTATTTCGAATTGATGATTGTTTACAGAATACAAGAATGGATACAGGCAGGCGGTTGTCCTGAAGCAGTACCTTCGGAGTCGGGAAGCAGTACCTGTAGCCATAATAGACCCACAACCTCGACTAAAGACCTACAGGAGAGGGCTCCTCTCTTGCCTCCTCATTGTTCCTCCTCCAATGGCTCTCTAGCAACGAGCAGCTTAAAGAAATTCAGCGCCGCTGGGTCAAGCTCGAAAGTTCCCGATGATAATTGTTCGACTTGTAGTGAAGTGCCACCACTTGCACCAAAGTCCAAAAAACATAGTTCCGGTTCCCTCATAGATGCAGATAAAGTAGGTACAAGAGATACCGTCATTAGGATACCCAATACCCACTTCGGTAATGATATTTAAATATTGTACATGATATCGATAATTCGATACTGTATTATTTACTGAATTATTTATTTATTTATTTAAATATCTTATACTTTACTGATTTATTTATTTACTTATTTAAATATCAAGTGTACTGTTTACACACGATAGATTGAACTATGATATTAAAATGAACTAATACTTATCATAGTGACAAAAATTGTTCCATATTTCCTGTGAAATACGTAAGATAAGTCGCTTCTCATCAGGTGAGTCGGATGCTCGTTTGTACCATCTTAAAAAAATATGCATACATTAAAATGTCGTCAGTATTTTTCTTGTTATATCAAAATTATTTATACAAAATATTACTTATTGTATGATTTAAAATGTATGTAGCTAGTTCTAGTGTATTTTTTGTACTGATAATTTAATTTACAATAAGTATTTACTTGCCTATGTTTAATGCATTGTTTTTTTTTTAATTTCTTCCACGTAGTGTTAGGATAAAACGTAACGATTAATTATTAGTTGTGTTGAGTCGTGGTAACAGATAGTGTTATCTTTCGAAAATAATATTTATTTTTTGCCCTTTGTGTTAAATGTTTTATTTTTATTCATTTTCGATTTTATTAAAATTAAAGCTAATGCGCCTTAGCGGCTAATCGCGAGAGTATATCGTAGTAGCGGCAACCTACCTATTTATATTATTAATTGTTTAAAACACGAGAAAGAGAACAATTATACAAAATAAAATAGCTACAAAATCCTATTCTATTCCTGTTGCGGTTTGTGCTTCGATCAACAATACCAACTAGATGTCGGGTCGGCGCAATAAATCCATCTCAGTAAATAAGAGCGCACATGAGACGTGAGCTCTTGCACGTGAGAGTGTAGCTCGCAAGGCAATAACGGGAAAAAGAACTTTATTTGTTAAAACTTAAGGTTGATTTCACACTAAATGTTATTTAATTTATGTCTTTTCATAGTTTATATTCATGCGGACAGTATTAACTATGATTTTGTACTTGACCCGTTATTTAGTTGGTATTGTTGATCGAAAGGGTTTGTGATGGTTTTATAAACATTTATTATGATTTTAAAAACTAAAACGAAAAAGACATTCATACAAGACAGACAAGAATGCAGTGACTACTTAACCGACTTTCTTTCAAGATTCCAAAAAGGCAATTTTCTAAATTTTAATGAATTTTTACGATCTGGCGAAGCCGCTTGTTATATGCAAGCACCGTCACCGTCACATGCACCGTCGCGTGCACACATTAACTACTCACACTTGACTGCACGTTTCACTTAACACTTGAAATCGTAACACTTCCACCATAAAATGCACGAAAAATCAAGTGTAATAAAATTATTGTACTATGGATTTTACTATACTAGTATTTAATATATCTGTTATTACATTTCTAGGCCTCCATATTAGTAGTAAGCTCAAGAATATCAAAACATTTTTTAATATTTGAAACTGTCCACCTTTATGTAATTTTTGTTTTGTTTTGTTATCTAAAAAGTACGGATAAGTATTAAATGTACACTGAAATGTACAACAAATACTTACCTTTTTGAAAATTGTTTTTTTATTTTGGTCTTTATAAAAAAACTTTATAATAATAAATAACTTTTTTAACAACAAATTTTTTTTTCTATGTATTATAGGCTTTGGTTTTTGTTTTTCACCGCTCAAAATGTAAAATCATATCGCGAATTCGCGAAGTAATTTGGAAAAAATCTGGGCTAATTTCATTTTCCGTCCTCTACCCACCTAATATTCTTAGCAGTTCATTATAGGCGCTTTGTATCAAAAGTGGCTGTTACAAATGTCTATTCTAATCTAATCTAAATAAGAAAATATCTTGCTTTAAATTTTTGTATGTTAGACGTCTATGACACAGTTGTTAAGAATAATTAATATAAATAATAAGCATTAGTGTTAAGTATGAGACATAAAAAGACAACAAATACATCATATTATAAGCTTAGCCAGTTGTCGACTACAAACGTGCCTACAAATCTCTTCGATTTTTTTTCGATACATATTTTGAGAATGGTAGAGCACAGTAGTACAGTAGATTTTGTAATTAAGTATTAATGCAGATAAAATTAATCTGGCTCTCTACAGTAAATGTACTCTCTACAGTAAATAAAATTACTTTCTAATCATTTACACTTTGACAAGTGTGTGAAAAATCATGCCTTTAAAAGTACCTACAAAGATGTTTGCCCTAATTAGAAGAAAAAATAGTTTGTAATTATCAGTATTTGGCAAGTTTTAATTTATCGTCTACAATTATTTATCTTGTAATTATTAATTATACTATGCTATAATATTATGAGTAGATTAGTATTTAATATTGTTATCACAATTGCTACTTTGTAATGTCAAAAATAGTGATCAATTATTGGAGACAATATTCATAGACTAAAACAACACTCAAAAAAATCACAGAAAAATAGAGTGCAGGGGCCAATGAAAGAATCGTCTCATTATTTGTGTTTTACCGTATTTTTTTCTGCAAACATTTATACCTAACAACTGAAATTGCCATGCCATGAATAAATCAACCCCTTTTCTATATATTTTTAACCTCTCGGTTTTGTCTATAAATATGCAGTAATAGGGTATTACACCTTTTTTTCAAATATTGTTTTAAATGAATTCTAGAGTGATCATGAGCCACTAGAATTTTTATATATTTTTTTGAACCGAATAATGCTATAAAAATTACTTTTAATTTATCGTTTTAAATTTTCGCGGGAAAACGCTAGCCGCAATGCTGTTAAGCTCGTGACGTCACTGCCCTAGGATTTTGCCGATTTCGCAAAGGTACCATTTTTGAATGATTAATAATAGTTATTATCTTTATCGTTGGTGTGGTGTACGCGAATGCAAAAATACGTGCATAAAACGCCGGGGAAGTTATGCATTCAAGTGCCAACTGATTAAAACTGGCAAGAATATACCCGAATACATTGTTTACAAAAACTAGACTATACTTCTGTGAAAATCATTCTTACTCATATTTAACTGTTGTTTATACAAAACATCATGAGGTGATAGGTATTGCAAGTCAAATATTAGATAGGTTATCTTATTATAACTAACGTTTGCTAACGATTTTCATTATAGATAAACATAACTATGTATTATCAAAATATACTCTGACATGTTATTGTGTTATTGTATGAACAATAAGAAGTTGGTAATAGGTACTTACTTTAATTTTTTAACATTCCTCAACTCGTCAGAACAAATATCTGAATTGCATGCCAAAAAATTTGATACCATAAATGTATTTACTCATGGTAGATTATTTTGCTTTTACGAATCAGTCTTCCATGATGCTTTTTCAATAAATTTCGAAATAACTCATCAATTGTATTTAATAACTTGGAAAATTTCGAAATAACACACAGCACACTAGCTAGTTTACTTAACCAGTGACATCACGACGGAATCTAATATGGCGGATAGCATTTTGGAAATTTGAAGCACAAATAAAAAAATATTCTTAAAATTTATAATGCATTTTATTAATAGAAATCATATATGTTTTTTGTCTTTTTCTATATGGTGTAAATCCTATTCAAATGTCTAAATCAAATTGGCAGTGTGTATTCTATAATCAAACTAATAACATTTCTAAAACAATGCCGTTTTGCCCTTCTTATACTGCGTAATTGTGTCATTAGTTAAGCGTTTAAGAATTTCCTAAATAATTTTATTTATGAAAAAACATATTTCGTTAAAGTTTTTAGTACCTTTGCCTTTATAATATACTTTTGTAAATTTAAAAATTTATACTACATTTTGTACTTGCCAAAGACTTTTTTGTATGTGATACATTTACTTTTTTACTTAGATATAATCTGTATTTCTATCATAATTTATTTATAAAATAAAATGTTCAAAATATTGTATATTATTTTATTATATACATATTTGGAAATAGAAAGAAGAAGAAATGCGGTCGCTAAGGAGTATGTTAGGGCTGAATATGAGTGACAGGGTGAGAAACTGTGATAAAAGAAGAGTGTGGTTTGCAAGATGATGCGGTGACCAGGATTAAGAAAGGAATGCTTCGGTGGTTTGGTCATGTAGAAAGAATGAATGAGAAAAGACTGACAAAGCAAATATATGTTGCAGAAGTGAATGGAAGAGTCGGAAAGGGACGTCCTAGGCGAAAGTTTGTCGACCAAATTGGCGATATATTAAAAATGGGCACCCTTAACCGACGCGCATGTATGCGTAGGTATATGGATGTGGAAGAGGCGAGAGAGGTATGTCAGGATCGTGCTACATGGAAGTCTGTAGTCTCTTACCTACCCCTCTGGGTGACAGGCGTGAGTGTTTATGTTTTATTTGGAAATCACGAAGAAAAACATTGTATCTTAATTGGTAGGTTCAGATCTTTTTATGAGTTAAATATTCAACATGGACTGTCCATTTAGTTGTAGTATTACAAAAAGTAACTCTATACATAATATTTGATTTTGGTTTAAACTAAAATCTGTTTCCCGCGAAATGTGCTAACATATATATATATATATATATACATATGACTGCCTCGTTGGTCTAGTGGTTGTAGTAGTGCGACTACTCTTCCCGCTATTATTGAGTTTTTCTGTCAAGAAATTCTCAGTTCATGACTCCGGGAGTCAGGAAGTCGGCGGTGTCTCACCCCCGTGCCTCGGAAAGCTCTCTCTTGTCGTGTCGGTTTACCGTATCGGATTATGAGAGTGAGGGAATAGAGAGTGCAGGTGCACTCTCTCTCTCTCTCTCTCTCTCTCTATATATATATATATATATATATATATATATATATAGTGGCGGTTAAGAATATCCACTACCCCATATCTTCCCGTGGGTGTCGTAAAAGGCGACAGAGGGAAAAAGGCAGGAGATGGGCAGCAGCATCTTCCTGATAACAGCAACTGTACAACAAAAAAAACTGCGGTTGCCAACGGCTACGACGGCCCCCAGTCCACGGCGGTTCGCTATTCCTGACTACGGT